GATGATGATGATGATGATGATGGTGATGATGATCATGCTGCTGCTGATGAGGATGATGATTGTGGTGGTGATGATGATGCTGATGATGATGAAGATGATGCTGATGCTGCTGATGATACTGCTGATGATGATGCTGCTGCTGATGATGACGATGATGATGATGATGATGATGATGATGATGATGATGATGATGATGATGATGATGATGATGATGATTATGATGATGATGTGATGATGAAGAGGCGGAGGAGGAGGAAGAGGAGGAGAGTAGGAGGAGAGGAGGAGGAGGGGAGGAGGAGGAGGAGGAGGAGGGGGAGGAGGGGAGGAGAGAGGAGGGAGGAGGAGGAGGAGGAGAGAGGAGGCTGCGAGGAAGATGAGGATGCGGATGAGGATGAGGATGATGATGAGGATGATGATGAAGATGAGGATGAGGCGAAGGAGGAGGAGGAGGAGGAGGAGGAGGAGGAGGAGGAGGAAGAGGAGGAGGCGGAGGATGAGGGAGGCGGAGGAGGCGGAGGAGGAGGAGGAGGAGGAGGAGGAGGAGGAGGAGGAGGAGGAGGAGGAGGAGGGGGAGGAAGAGGAGGATCTGAATTAACAGAGGGAAGCTGCGATCACTGGCCAGCTTCTGCATTATCCGCCAATGTCCCGCGTGTGGTGCCGAGTGGCTCTTGGCCCAGAGCATATTGGGAGCTTCCTGAACTAAGGCCTGACAATCTACGTGCACGGCTTTGTCATCAGGAAAATCTTGGCTGAGGTGGTCAAGCGCTTGCATCAAACCGTGATGTTCGGCTCCCGGGGCCGTTTGCGGGATACCATCGGGGACGGGGCCACAAATCGCCCTGAACATGTTGCCCCGCGCGTCGCGCTCAATGACTGGTTACCCTTATCTATATGGAAACAGCTACCGTCGCAGTAAAGTTCACCCTCGCTTGTGAAGCGAAATGGTGCGACCTTGTTACCGCGAGAATCTATGTATACCACTGCCGCGTCAGAAGGCTGCTTAGTAGACATAGGAGCCGCCATCCACAGATTGTTGAAAAGAGGATCAGACTCTCCCATATGCTCGGCCATGGCGAGCGTCTCAGCGTCGATACCCTCGCTATCTGGAGCGAAATGGGGGCAAGTCCACGCTCGGTGGTGAACGGTGTCAGGCGCCCCGCGATACACGCACAAACCATCTGTGTTGTACCCCTATTTTTGAAAGGTCTTGGCTGTGCTGAAGGTGTCACAAAACACGTTTTTTTAAGATCCTCTTTTGTGTGGGGTTGAGCTTCTTGCCATTGAGCAGACGCCGAACAAGCAAGTCCCAAATCCCACTCCCTCAGATCTCCTGAGCCCGGTCCGAGTGGTTGTCAAACAGCTTACTGTCAACAACCCTCTCCTGTAAGTCCTTAATGAACCACTATGTCAACATATGGAGAGGGGTGTCGGTGAGGGGCCATTGTTGGCCATTTCGGAGAATCACCATGCCTGGATTCGCAAACTCCCACCCGACCTCCCTCATCCATAAATGCAGATCCGCCATTGGGCCCGAAGACTTCCGAAGCCAACTCGCCCGATCAGGATGATAGGTGAAGTGCTGCAACGTGGAGCGGAAGACGTAGCTCAATTCTTGCGCTGCTAGCCCATCTCCCTGCTTGAGGTCTGCATCACTTGCCTGCCACCACTCCTGACAGTGCCGTTTGAAAGTGCTCGCCGCTAGCTCAATTGGGTCTTTCCAAGTGTAGAGCCTCCATTCCAACTCCATCCCACCCCTTGGTATGCCCATGATTCTAGCAGCCGTCAGCCAAAGATGCCTAATCTCCTGCGGTGTATACCCATCGCCTCCCCACCGTACGTTGCAGCATGCTGCAAGCCTGTGAAGAATAACCTCGCCCCAGAACCAATTTTCTTGAAACGGCTTACTTTCTTCAGCTGGGCTGGGATAACACCGAGGCGCTTTTTCCGAACTGCTCTGGCGCCAGCACGTTGCTTGTGCTTACCTGTGCCGAAGTCCGCACCCAAATTACGGGGACAGTGCTCGTGCCGGCCCGCCATGTCTCCAAGAGCGGCCTGCGCTGCATGCACCAAATCATATTCCTCCTCCTCCTCCTCCTCCTCCTCCTCGGTCACTACCATCTTTTCGTCCGCCAGGGGCACGCCCAGAATTTCCTGGAGTAGCCTGGCCAAGGAAAACGCCCTTTCCTGAAACAGCGTGACACACGTAAAGAAACATTCGTTCGCCACCGCTGAATGGAAACCATCGATATGAGTGGTGAGCTCCCCTGGACCTGCTCGCACCTGCTTCGACCGGGCCGCCACTTCCTTTACCACGAACGCTTTTACTTCGTACGTGGCCGTCGAAGTCCCTGCAATGACCCCCCGATGCGGCGACAAATGACCTCCTACCAGGCCGTCGAGACATACCAGCCTGGCCCACCGATACGAGTGAATCGAGTACCTGAGGACTGCGGCGGGATACTGCACAGATTCAGCCTCAGAGCTAGACGAATTGCATATT